TTCTCTCAATTTCACCTCATACTACCTACCTACCACTACTCCTAATTATAGTTGTAACGGGATCCCCGTAGCAGCCACAACCATGTCGACGAGAGAACACAGAAGCTGCACCTGACCTGCAGGTGGGCGATACCGGCCAGGGGACAGCCGGTAGCATCAGGGGCCATGCCAACAGGACCAATCCCTGTGCCTCCTCTCAGGTCCCTTCCCCTACGAACATCAGCAGACTCTAGTTCGTAGTTATGTGACAATGTATATACACAGCTCTGTTTGACAATATATACCGCATCTGTGACTGCAAAAGGTGAAAACCGTTTCACATATATATATTATACAGATGCGGATCCCAGGGCTCGATTCCCAGACCTTACCTCCCCTTACCTTCCCTGTGTACAGCATAAAGTCGACCCTGTGTGTCTTGAACCCGACCTATGTGTTAGTAGTTGAAAGTTGTCTGTCGTAGGTCTGAGTAGTTGTGGGGTCTTGAACCTTAGACCTGTCGAAGTAGGGGTCATACTTGCATAGGGGTCATTGTGGTTGGAGTCCTGAAAGGTCAAGGCTATAGCTGCTACAGTCCTGAAAGGTCAAGGTCGTAGCTGCTACAGTCCTGAAAGGCCAAGTCCGCAAACTTCCGGAAGGTCCGGAAGTGGCCTTTCAAGTTTCTCTTCACGTTATACACAACAGACTAGAGGCAAGTGGGCAAGTGGTAGGTCCAACTTTGCTTAGTCAGCGGTACCCAGTCCCAGTCTCACTTTGTACAGTCAGCAAGTACCATGAGGGACTGTGTGCACCAGGGGCCCGGTGGAAAAGGGCAGACCAGTGACCTACAGAAGTATAAATCAAGAGGCAGCGTCCAGCCATTCATTCATTCCTGCATGAGCCATGCGGAAGTGCTGCCGAGCGTCTTGTGCGAGGTGGTCTGCAGATGCCTGAGGTCGAAGTGCGCTTGAAGGAGTCAGTGCACCATAGTTAGTAGTAGCCAGCGGCCATAGCCGCCAGAGCTACCTTCTTAACCCGAAAAAAACGTATGTACCTTGTATACGAATACAACGTACGGGGTACGTTGTATTCAAATACAACGTATGTACGTTATAGAACGAGTTTTAGGGTACAACTTTTCAGAAGCCTGTAGTACCGCCATTGTTTTTATTTTTATCTCAAATTTGAAATTTGGTTGGGAATTTCGCCAAGACCCTCAGGCAAAAGTTGTTTGCATTGCAATGTTGTACAACATTTTTTTTTTTCGGATTTTTTACTGAAGTTTTTTTTTTAAAATCGAAATTCTGAAAAAATCAGTCAAAAATTACTAAAAATTAAAAAAACATTTTGATCCTCGTTTTCATTTTTTTCTCGAATTTTCTCGTGAATTTCGATAAGACCCTCAGGCAAACGTTGTTTGTATTGCATTGTTCAATGATTGTTGTATAACATTTTATTTTTTCGGATTTTTCCAAAAATTCGATTACAACATACGTACGTTGTATTCGAATACAACGTACGTACGTTATATTCGAACGTACGTTCTATTCGGGGAAAAACAAGCGTTATCTGAAATCCGATTTCCAGAGGTAATTCGAATAGAATGTACATACGTTTTTTTTGGGTTAAGAAGGTAGTGTTAGGTGTTAGTGTGTGTGTACGAGTGTGTGATACAGTGAATGCGTGTGGGGGTATTCATGGTGATCCAGAGTGAGTATGTGCGAACAGTGGTGTTGGACACAGTGCGAGAGTTGGGATGTACAGGTGCCATGCGCCATAGCCTGTTGAAACGAGTTTGCATCTGAACTGTGTTCTCGGTTTCCATATCTCTGAGCTCTGAGTGGGCGCTTGGCGCCAGTGTGAATTGCCATCCGTTTGCATGTATGCGAAGTGAAGGAGAAAACGAGTCAATTGGATTATCTGTGGGATGTGTCATTTGCTTTGTCTGACTGATACGATTTCTTTCCTTGTCAGGTTTGGTTTCCTCCTCCTTTTCTTTACCTCTAAGTTTGCCTTTTGGCTGGCAGTGTGTGCAAGTGGGTCCTTGTGACACACGGGGATGGGGGCAGCCAGCACTCAACCTGTCATCCACGTGGCTGGCCTTGTACGTAAGAGGTGATGAACAGTTGGGGCTTTCCTTCCTTTCTTCTTTTTCTTTCCTTGTTTTGCTTTTTTTCGCCTTCGCGCTCTGTTTTACAGTGTGACAATATATGTTGTTGTGATGAGAAGGGGAAATGGAGTCAATGGACTGAACGGGATGGATGAACAGTTCCGCGCCCCTCTGTTGTGGAGGGTTCCCTACACTTGGAGTCCCCCTTGGTGAACATCTGAACCATCTCTGGCACATTGATTTCTTTGATGCACCTTGTTCCAGTGCCACTGCTGAACCGTACAGACTGTCGAAGATGTGTCGAACTGTGTTTAAGCTGTCACCCAGTCACAATTTGTTGGATTAAACCACCAGTACCCCAGGGGGTCTTAGGTCCCCTCTGGGGAGGCTCTGACACAAATGCATATGAACTCGCGTGGACTGATTCGGCCACCGCGTTAACGGCCTAAGAATGTGGAGGTACTGGTGGTTTAACAGGTGCGAATGCGTTTGATCTATCGCCAGCGCGCTTGAAGAGGGGCTTGTTTGATGTATCAAGTTATTGTTACATATTCAAATGAATGCTGTTTCGTGATTTACACGTGCTGTGCTGGTGGTGGTCGTCCTTATGTCTGTGCGATGCAGTGAGCTTCTGGATTCCAGGAGAGACCCTTGTCAGCCACATGCTTCTGACGACGACAGCGAGCTTGTACTTGGAGCATTAGGTCCAAACGTCATGTTTTCTGCCGATGATGCTGGCCTGCTAGAGGAGAATGACTGCACCACCACTTGTCATCCTGTAAACAGTAGCGTGCCTCAGGCTCATTGCTATGATGGGTGGATGGAGAGGGCTAGCCCCAGTCTTCGGCACTATCTATACTATGAGGCAAGGCGTTTGGATGACCTTGCTGAGGAGTCGAGTCCACAGGTAGGCCAACATCCTTGGCGCCGCGTGTGGAACAAAGCACATTTGGATTTTGGAGTTGAAGGTGGAATTGGGCAATTAAGGCGCAGGCAGCATTCATTGGGCACAATGGCAAAGCAAAATCCCACCAATTTTTCCGTAAGGGCACACGAAGGCACTTTGGTGGTGAACCATGGACCACCGCCCTTCTGGTCCCCGGTAGCAGTTCCACGTCCAAGCCTGCTTGCAGCACAGGTTGTGTTTCAGATGCTTTTTAGGAAAAGACTCAGGATCTGAGTTTCTTTTTCAACTGGGGAAAAAAAAAAAATGGTTCATCCGTCGGAGGGCGTCCTCACACTAGCCCTATCTTAAATGTTATCTCGCGGCATTGATGGCCGGACCTGGATGTATGTGACCACAATTACGTCCAGAAATAAATAAAATAAGGTCCTCGTGTGAGTATGCCCCGAGTTGCGTTGCATAGCGCTTCATCCGTTTCGTAATTTTCATTTTGAGATTGGAGGTTGCGCGATGTTGCGCGAAGGGCTTGTCAATGTTGGTACTGTGGGTCTTTGAGTACAATCTGTCAATTTGGTGCTCTCTATTTTTCTCCATTTCTCACAGGCAGTCTTGGTTTGCAGGTTTGTAAAGTCCTCAGTTTGGAGTCTTTGGACAGTACTGTCTCTTTTTTTTTGGGTCTCCGGGCAGCACGAGGATTAAGAATTTAAGATGTGATTTTTTTTCCCCTTTTTTCTGGTTGTGCTGAGTGGTTTGTTTGTGAACTGGGGGTTTGCACAGTGGTCGGCAGAGGAGAGGGGGCTTATACACATCTAGATGTGTATAAGAGACAGGCATGGCAGGCATTCACATCGAACACCTACACGCTCTCATTCAACCAATTGCGAGCACCTTGATGGCGAGAAATCATCTTTTTCCCTAGGCTGTTTTGTCGGTGGCCCGGGTACCCAACTTGTGCCCGGACACACGCCCGGGTGCCCGGCCGGGCATGAACCCCAGGAAGGGTTCCAGGCAGTCCTAGTGCGAAAAGTGAAAAAAAAAAAAAAAAAAAAATCCAGAAAAAGAAATGTTGTGTAGAATTGCAATTTGCAACGCAAACGACCTTCGGCTGAGGGTCATATCAGAACTCGTCACGGATACGAAGATGAAAAAAGAAAACAACAGAGGCAGACTAAAGCACCCCCCTTTAGACCCCTTCAGCCCCTTGAAAAGCAATTTATATCCCCCTCCTCCCCCTTCACAGCCAACACTTGAAAAGAGAAAGGAGCCTGGATTTGGGCTCCTCTGGCCATGTGCAGAAAAAACTCTCCGGAAATAAAAGAAGGAAAGAAATTTAGAAAAGGCCTGATTTTGCCTGCACGCGGTGCCCCATGCAGGTGACCCCCGGGCGACTTACTCGGGTGTGCAGCACGGCCACGCGAGCCACGTAACTAGGTTCTTACCCTCGGGTGGCGGCCTAGCGGGGTGCTGCCAGACCTGCTTGCGGCATCACTGTGTTGAACAATGGCAAGTAGTTGGGCAAGCTCTCCAACGGGAAGGCAGCTGGTAGCCTGGTGTGCAGGCTGGTTCACAATACTCTGGCCTTGGCAAACCCAGGTCCACAAAACTCTGGCCGTGCAAGCCAAGGTTCACAAAACTCTGGCCGTGCAAACCAAGGTTCACAAAACTCTGTCCGTGCAAACCCAGGTTTGCAAGGTGGGTTGCGGGGTGCTTTGCTGGCCCCTTCAAACTGCTACTGCAGCAAACATCAAAACACTCCTCATCAGTCTACCATGACTACATTCATGTGGACGTTGAGGCATCTTTGGTCTATGCCGTAGGACCACATCCTCATTTTCATTGTCGATGCGATCCTTGGCACTGTCATCATAAGAGCCGTCGTCGATGTCGTAGTCACGATGTCTCGGCTGCTATCACCTTGTCTTCATTCGCAGCGCAGTTGACGTTACCATTACCGTTTCCATTTTCACAGCATTGTCCCTTCTGCCACCATTATGGGTTGTGTGCTCCGTCACCATAACGACTGGTTGTCATCCACATGTGGTTTACATTTGTCGTCATTGTTACCCTCGTCGTTTCTTATCACCGCCCTTATTGCCACGACTGGTTGACTCCTCAATGTCTTTGCAATCGCCACAACGGTTAACTAACGAACGAACCAGCCAATGAACCAAGTTGAACCAACCAACCAAGTTGAACCAACCAAGCAACTGACCAACCAACCAACCAGCCGACGAACAAACTAAACGTCGACCGTAAGTTATGGGTTGTGTGCTCCGTCACCATAATGACTGGTTGTCATCCGCATCTGGTTTACATTTGTCGTCATTGTTACCCTCGTCGTTTCTTATCACCGCCCTTATTGCCACGACTGGTTGACTCCTCAACGTCTTTGCAGTCGCCACAACGGTTAACTAACGAACGAACCAGCCACTGAACCAAGTTGAACCAACCAACCAAGTAGTTGAAACAACCAACCAACCAACCAACCAACCAACCAACCAAATGACCAACCATCCCAGCTACCTGCTGGATCAATACACCCTTTAGCGCAGCGACGCAAAACAGCGGTTAACAGAGGGCCAAAAATTCGCCATCTTCGCCACATGACCACAAGCAATGTAGTGGAAATCTTTAGAAATGAACAGTTTTGGAATCACAGAAAACGAAAAAAAAAAAAGAAAAAAAAAAACAGAAGTGACAAAACACTATAAAATAATAAACCCCTAAAGCAAAAACACTTTCCGAGTTAAAAATAAGCGTTTAACGATTTCGATGAAATCATTGAAATGTCAACTTTTTCATTATTGGCCGGAATATGTCAAAACTGAATACATGATGTACCCTAAAGCACATGCATACCACACACACACAAAAAACAAATCAAGAAAAAAAGAAAAAAAGAAAAAAAATTGATAGTTTCAGTGCAAAATTTACCGAAAATAACCCCCACTGCTAACCACGTGGTTGGAGGGAAAAACGACTCCTCGCCACCTTAAAAACTCTGTGTAAAGCACGGCGGCTTGAAATAAGGAGACTTAGGGTACTGAAGATCTATTGATGCCAAACAATACCAGGATCTATTGGAACCAAATAATCCCCGTCGATTTCTTCTTTATCGGTAGTCTGTTCAACTATTTCCGGGACTGCTATAGATCCGGTGCGCTTCTTTTATCACACTGTTCTCCGCGCTTCGCCCACCATATCCGTTAGACATGTTGCCCCTCCTGCTGATGGGACCATGCTCTGACTGGCCAGACTTGCAGCTTAATGCCCCGATGATAATCCACGGCCAATCAAATCACTTACCAAAGGGAGGTTGAATCCTCTGGGGGTTCTGTAACCATCCTTAAGCACTGCTGCGGAACGGCATCTCGCAGCTCCTGAAAATGCTGGGTGTACCATTCAGCCACATGGACTGCATCCTTTTCCCTGTCAGCCGTTGTTGTGTCAGTCTCTGCATTAGTTCGTTTTCTCTTTCGTTTTTTTTTTTTGTTTTTTTTTTGTTTTTTTTTTTTGTCTGTGTGTGTGTGTGTGTTGTTCTGAGCGGCGCGGTAGCCCTTTCCTTTTTTGAACAGTAGGATTACGATGGGGAAGTTGGCGGGCTTATCATGAGCTAGGTTGGGGCGGTTGGTGGCTTTGGGATCCCGTAGAAAATGCATCTTTGATGCCATCGAACTCATGAACTGTTTGGTAATAGTTACATGTGAGTACCATCCATTCAGCCAAATGGGCTGGGTTTTGTTATATTTATATTGTGCGAATGTTTATTACTTCGAGTGCATCACTTTGCAGTTTGTCCTGACACACCTTTTCATCCTCGTGTGTTTATTACTTCGAGTGCGTCTTGCATTTTGTCCTTCCTTACCTGGACAGACACACCTTTTCATCCTCGTGTATCTATTTTTTTGTGGGGAGTGCCTGTCCAGAGTGTCTGCTCGGTAGATGATCAAGGCGAACCCTGAGAGATCTCTCTTTTTTTTCCAAAAAGGGCAATGGCCTTGAGATACCGTCCTCAAAGGCTCAAACTGACCAGCCCCAGGTAAATTCAATTATAATTTATAAGTTGGGAAACGGGCCCAGCGTCCCTTAAGATCATGCGCTGAAGCTGTTTGGGATGAGCCAGCCAGGCACTCTGGCCTGGCTTATCTCTGACTGCAGCAGTATCTCAATCAAACGGTCTCAAAACTCAAAACTGCCTACCGTCTTCGCCCGAATAGAACGCCCGGTCATTATAACTGTATTTGGCACAAATTTCAGCCCAGATACGGCGATAATTACCGGGCGTTCTATTCGGGTGAAGACGGTAGTCTATCTACAGTAGCTTGCAGGAAGGCTAAAAAACAGCCGAAAAGACTCTAAAACCAATTACAGACAAAACAAGAAAAGGAAGCAAAAAAATGTCCTTCGGGACATCCGTTAAAATTGGAACGCTAGTACAGAGAATGAAGATTAGCATGTATGGCCCCTGTGCAAGTAAGGATGACACGCAGAAATTGAGAAATGGTCCAATTTTTTTCAACGGAAAAAAGAAGAAGAAAAGGAAGCAATAAAACAAAGAAAGGTCAGCAGTCCCCAAGTCCTACCAGAGAAGGGAACATACATTCTTGGCTGTCCTTAACTGTGGCCTTTTCGCTATTTAACAATTCTAATTCTAATTAATGCCGTTACCAATTCTAATTAACAACAAAAAAACTTAAAAAAAAAAGCTAACTGCGATTTTGTACAGAGTCTAATTGCTACAAATACCAAAAGTTATCCTTTCTGTTCTCAAAAGGCTGTCCATAAATCGTTAAATGCGCCCACCGATTCCTCGCGACAGCCAAGCATCTCCAAACGGCGAACGCACCCACCCTAAAACATGCAAAACGTACCGGAGCTCCGTTCCGAGAAAGAATAACCGGGTTGTCAAACGATGGCCGAGTCAACAATCGTCTTGCAACGGGTAGCGGAGGTCCTAACTGTGGGCAGGGGGGACAGCTTCCAAGCCTTCAACCGCGAGTACACGGCCCCGGCCTTGCAGTCGGAAACTTGTCGCCACCAACGAGGCTGAAACGTCAAACGCTGGGCTAGCCCTTGATAAATTGGATCGGCGGTCCCTTTTTCGTTTCGCACTTCCGGAATTCGAGGTGTCAGGCCCGCGGCCCAGGTAGCCGTGTCCTGGTGCGTTGAACCGCCAGTACCTTTGAGTTGCCCTTGCTGAACGTCCAGCCTGAAGCTGCATGCGCCTTTACACGACATGCTCGGAGGTAGAAAAAAAGGGCCGGGAAAGGTACGGGTGCTTTAAGAATGCCAGCCCACATTCCCGGCAGCAACCTTTTCCTGAGATAAACTGGATGGAGTGCTGCCAACGGAACGTACCGCAGAGTATTCCATTCCCGGTTAAGAAAACGAAGAAAATTCAGCAAGCTGACGCCAAGAAGGACAGGTAGATGCTTCCAACATAGCCCACGGCACACATAGTAGAGATAGCAGCACTGCAATCTGTCGCTCCAGGTC